CACAACTTGGATAGAGTGCAATCACAGGCGGGCTACTGTGGGTTCGCACAGGTTTGGGTGATTCTCTAGCTAAGATTCTGCGCAGTTCAGCGAACCCACAAATCCCACCCCTGGCTGGCCCCACCCACCCTGCCCTTCCCCTCCCAGGAGTCCCCACATGGCCCATTTTGGATGCCAGGTTAAGTCCAGGGCCCACACGGAATCTCGGGGAAGGTGAAAAATGGGCCTCCTAGAAGTTCTAGAAGGCCGGAAAGAGGCCCATTTCCGGCCTCCCAAGGGCCTCCAGAGGCAAGGGAGACAGTTTTCACCCTCCTGGAGGCTCAAGGAAAGCCTCCAGAGCCCGGGAAGGGCAAAAACAAACCCCCCTCCATGGTGCAGAAGGCCAACTAAGCCATGCCCACCATGGCCACGCCCACTCAGCAACCAGGCCAAAAACAAGTTGCTAAAATTTTTGAAGCCCACCCCTGAGTGCAATGACAATGTTTTGAAAATAGGATTCTGTAACAGAGGTAGATTTTAGTCTCTGCAAAACTGAAAAACTAAATACTTGAATATAGACTATAAATGTACTGAAAGGCTTGGGTAAAGTCTGTAGTCCACAATCCTTTTCTTCCCAGCCAGATTTACAATAATACAACTGAAAAAACTGGATCAAATTTGCACTCACATTTGGAGAAAAACAAAACAATTTATATAATTGCATTAAATCTCTGACAGATTAGATGAATGTATTAACATTTCCTGTATTTTTAAACAAAGCCAAAGAAAGGAGTTAATTGGCCTAGATATTCTCTCCAGTAATGTGGTCATCCCACTATTTTCTCTCAGCAGCCAAAATTGATTTTTTTTAAAGGTAGCCCTGTCACACAAAAAAGTTGTCATTCCAGTTCTAGAGAACTAAATAAGCAGGCATCAAAAAGAGATCAGTTGAATAATTTTGATTGATCTAATGTAGATGATATAATTACAATAAGAGTCACTTTGGTGTAGTCATTAAGGCATCAGGCCACAAGATTGTGAGTCACTTTAGGCACAAAGCTAACTGAGTGACCTTGCACTTATCACTTGGTCTCAACCCTAGAAAGGAGGCAATGGCAGATCACTTCTGAAAAAACCTTGCAAGAAAACTGCAAGGAGTTCAAGCAGCCTCTGAGAACTGGATACAATTGAATGGAAGAACAAAAATGCATTTTTTTAAAGATTAGGAACAGTCTGAAAGTTTACAGACAACCATGAGTATGTTTGAGAATGGGCAAAGAATATTTAAAAGCTTGATTTATCAACTTCAGTGCATTGCTCATGTGGAAGATCACTTTCTGTCCTAAGAAGGTCAACATAATTTCAAACCTAATATTTTCAGACATTATGGCCTTTGGGGTTGGCAGATTTAAAATGGTTTTACTGATTCGGATTATTTTAGTTTGTTATTGTTCAGATTTATTTATTTACTTGGTTATCTTCCTGTATGAAATAGGTTTAGTATCTTTCTATACAATTTTTAACAGCACATATTTCTCTTATTAGAGCCAAGAAACCAAACATCAGAAATATTTGCCCTTTCAGAGAGAAGAGAACATGAATCTATTTCATTACTGTCACGCTGTGTAGAGAAGACAGAATTTTTCCAGAAGGGACTTTTTTTTTTAAACCTGTATGCAACATTTAAAATGACAATTACAAGGGGAATATGCATTAATTGGCTTCAATTTAAAAAGACAGTAAGCTTCCTCTCTGAAGATAATAAATACGCCAACATTTCCATCACCAGCATTTTGACAATTAGTAAGAAAGGTAGAGGGCTTTAAGAATAACCTGTCACTTCAGGCTCTGAGTTCTAAAAAATTAATTTACACAAAAAATACATTAAAGCACAATTAAACCAACCAAAGGCAGCATATGCAGACCTGAAAACAAGTTTTCACACTTGACTAGACTATCAAATGCATTTTCTGACATGTGTACTGAATTTCATTTTCTTCTCTTTTGTTTCTCATTATTTTCTTTGGCACTCTCACTGATCAAAGAGGTTTGCTGAAAATGGTGTTGTCTTATTTTTTCCTGCTGAGACGTTACAGGTACTCTTTATACTATAATCTAATTCCATAAACAAAGGATTAGCTCATCAATGCTGGATTAAGCAAATAGGAAGCAGCAAGGAAGGAGAATACCATTATCTAATCACATAGTAAAGAACATTAAAAAAACCCACAGAACTAAACAGTCCTTGTTTAAAAATTTACTTTTTAAACTGGATTCACCAGAAATGTCCTTCTGTACTGTGATTCAAAGGATGAATGCTTATAGAATAACTATGAAAGCTCTTTCACAAAATTTTAATTCTTAACTTTGATCTTGGCCTAAGTACAATACAATACAAAAGCTTCATTGGTGGGATTCAATTTTCTTTACTACCGGTTCTGTGGGCGTGACTTGGTGGGCATGACAGGGGAAGGATACTGTAAACTCTCCAGTCAGAGGTGGTATTTGCCGGTTCTCTGAACTACTCAAAATTTCTGCTACCAGTTCTCCAGAACTGGTCAGAACCTGCTGAACACCATCTCTAAAATGCTTCTATTAGCTTTAAAAAAGCAAAACATTGGGAAAGCACCAGGTCTGGATGGTTTGCCAGTGGAATTTTATTAGCTTTTGATAATGTGAATTGGCGTTTTATGCTGCTACAATTGGACCAAATGGGCTTTGGTAAAAATTTTATTCAAGCCATAGAAATGATATATTGTAAACAAACTGCAAAGATTATAACAAATTGAGAATTAACAGACTTTATAGATATAAGAAAAGAGTCTAGACAAGGCTGTCCACTGTCGCCTCTGCTGTTTGTGTTAACACTGGAAGTGCTGAATAGGAACATCAGAGAAGAAAAAAGAAATAAAAGGAATGAAAATTAAAAAAGAAGAGTATAAATTACAAGCTTTTTCAGATGACCTGGTATTCATATTAGAGGATCCATTGGTGTCAGCACCTAAACTGATAGAAAAGATAGAAGAGTATGGGAAAGTAGCAGGTTTGAAAATAAATAAAGATAAAACAAAGATTTTAACAAAGAACATGTTAGCAAGACGAAAGAAAGAATTGGAGGAAGTTTTGGGGATCCAGGTCACAAATAAGGTTAAGTATTTAGGGATACATATAACATCAAGATGTAGCACACTTAAGGAGGATAATTATCTTAAACTCAAACAACAGATTGCGACAGACTTGATAAAATGGGAAAATTTACCATTATCATTGATTGGGAGAATATCTATAATTAAGATGAATGTATTGCCTAGAATTTTATACTTATTCCAGACAATTCCAATCAGATTAGGGAAATAATTTTTTGAAGACTTAAACAGAATAGTGCTAAAATACATCTGGCAGGGGAAGAAAGCGAGAATAAAACTTAAATTGTTACAACATGCAAGAATAAGAGGAGGTTTTGCTTTGCTCAATTGGGAATTATACTACCAGGCGACGAGTTTGATGTGGGTAAAGGAGTGGATAAGACTAAGGAATACTAGACTTTTGAAATTAGAAGGACATGGCTTGCTGTTAGGGTGGCATGCCTTCCTCTGGTATAAGGGAACTAAAACGCAGGGGTATTTTAGAAGACATTATATTCGAGAAGCATTGTTTCTAAACTGGGAGAAGATAAAAAAAGCAATATTATTTAAAAATTCCACTATGGTTATCTACTATTGAAGATTTTTCCTATCCAATAATATATAAAAAGGAACAAACAGTTAGATATGGTGAGATATTGAATGAAAAGGGTGAACTTAAATCTATGCAAGCGTTGGAAGAACAAGGTGTAAAAATGAATTACTTTTCATATTTGCAAATACAATCTACATTTGATAAAGATTTGAAAACAGAAGGTATTTATGATAAGTTGACTGATTTTAGATAAAATTTTGATAGGTACTGATGAAAAAGTAATTTAAAAACTTTATGGACATTTGCTGGAGTTTAAATTAGAGGAAGAGCAAGTAAAAGAAACAATGATTGCGTGGGGGAAAAATTTTGGATATGGGATTGACCTAGATAAATGGCAAAAATTGTGATCTCAAAATTATAAAATGACAATGTCAACCGCATATAAAGAAAATTTGTATAAGATGTTTTATAGGTAGCACTTACCCCCGATGAGAATCGGGAGGATGTTCAAGAATTAATCGGATAAATGTTGGAAATGACATCAGATACCTGGTTCATATTACCATATGTGGTGGACATGCTCGGATGCAAAAAGATATTGGACTATAATCCACACATGGTTGGAAAAAATGATAAAACAAAACATAGACTTTAAACCAGAGATATTTTTATTGGGAATTATACCGGAAATATACCGTAAAGAATTGAAATATTTGATTGTAAATGTTTTAACAGCGGCTAGAATTGTATTTGCTAAGAATTGGAAAAATGAAAAAATACCTATGCAGGAGGAAATTATTAAGAAAATTATGGACTGCTGAAATGAGTAAATTGACATTTGAAATTAGAGAACAAGAAGATAAACAATTTATGTGATATGGGATTTATTTTATCAATGGTTAGATAAAAAGACATGGTAAAGAAATAGATTAGTAAGCCTTACAATAAAAGTTAATAGATTGATATAGAATACAATATAAAATATATAACCATTGGATGAATGTATAAGATTAAACCATAATGAAATTTAGAATATCTCGTATAAAATGATGGAAAAATAGTTTAGTCAAATGAATGTTTAATAATTGATATTATATAAGCACAAGCTAGATTGATAAGGTGAGAATTTATATAACTTGTGAGTAATGGTTAAAAAAGGATAGCACAAAAGATTGTAACCAACTGACACACTGTATGTATATAATTGAAAGAGGGTTTTATGTTTTTATGTTTTGTTTGTATGTTTGTTGTAAAAAATAAAAACTTTAAAAAAAAAACTTCTATTGTATTTATTATGTATATGTTTTCTGATCCAGACATTTAGATATTTAAATGAAACTCACTTGCAAGAAACTTTTGTTCGGTCAGCCACCATGGTCCACTGCTGTTGATTTGTAGAAACTTCAATGTAATAGCTGTAGCTCCTATCGTCACAATCCCAGAGGAGTAATCTGAAGGGCAGATAAACAACTCAAAGGTCACCTCTATATGGGATTTTGTATTAATAATTGAGCTTTTAAATTAATTGCAGAATATTTGTCATAAATAACATGTATTATTTAGCTTTAAATTTTCAAGACCAAAAATTTAAACATACAGGTAAGCCTTTCAAATACAGGTAGTCCTTGACTTACGACCACAAACATTTATGTTAAGTGAGAAATTTGTTAAGTCAGTTTTGCCCCATTTTATAACTTTTCTTGCCACAGCTGTTAAGTGAATCATTGCAGGAAATATGGTTGTTAATTGAATCTGTCTTACCCATTGATTTTGCTTGTCAGGTCGCAAAAGGTGATCACATGACTCCAGATCACTGCAACTGTCATAAATATGAACCAGTTGTCAAGCATCCAAATGTAAATCATGTGACCATGGGGATGCTGCAATGGTCATTAGTGTGAAAAATGGTCATAAGTCACTTTTTTTTAGTGCCGTTGTAACTTCGAGCAGTTACTAAATGAACTGTTGTAAGTTGAGGACTACTTGTACTAAGGATGTTTTTGATAATCTGGCTTTCCAATATTATCCCGCTTCAGATTTCCTAGCACATAGTGATTCTGAAAAAGAATTAAAGCTACTGTGCACTGAATTTATCAATCAGTTTTGTATATATGGGGATTAGTAAGAGGCACTTTAAATTGAAGCCGTTTTGTTTTTTGGCAGCACTTTTTATTAAAATGGCCCTGAGATCTTCTCAGAATTCCAAATATTGTGTGTGTGTGTGTGTTTCTACACACACACACACACACACACACACACACACACACACACACACACACATGCTTCTCTAGATCTTGGAAATAATAAATAGCAATAGATGATTTTTAAAAGCTATCAACAATAACCATAGCAGCTTTCATAGTTCACTCATTAGGCATGCTAGAACATCCTTCCCTAATCTTCTGGAATTTCCTATTTTTTTAAGTTTGAAGAACAATGACTGCTTGGATAAATGGACACTTGAAGTTTAATAAGCAAATATTAATTAAAACCTATGAAAAAAGATGTTATTTGCACTGGCAATTATAACAATCTTCTTAGACTATTTATATTTCATATGATGAATCACCTCCTCCCCAATAGTCTCCTTGTTTGTTTTCAACTGATGAAAAAAGTATTGCTTCTACAAAACCATTTCATTCTTCACTAGTAGCTATCTTAAATGCTTTGTTTTAATGCTGAAGGATTGTTGTAAAAATTGGTGCTTTTTTAAGGAAAGAAAGTTATTCGTTTGAAATAACCACTGATTTAGAACTGGGCTTATTTTATAAAAATATTCAATGTTATATAAAATAAGAAAAAGCTTCATTCTGCAGAACTGTAAATCTTTTAATATTGATTAGATTGATATACTGGCAAACAAGATTTCCAAAACCTACTGCAGAACCCTCTATATAAACCTGGGGTGTTATTAATAAATAATTTTAAGAGCCAAAATAAAAGAACTCTGAAAAAAGAGATTTTTAGTTCTCATTAATGCTGAGTTTCTGCAAATTAAAAATTCAGAGCTGATTCCATTAAAGCTCCCCAAAGCACCACTCCACATTTGGTTAGAATAAACATCCAGCTATCTAAAGTTCTACTTTCTCACTCACTGGCTTTTTGTTTAGCCCAAATGTCTTTTGGTTGCTTTTATCAAGACTGTAGCTAACTTGCTTATTAAAAAATCTGTCAATTTAAGGACAGAATCTCGAATGTGTATTGAGCTTATAAACATAGTTGTAAATCAATGCAGAAGTTTTAATTATGGATAAATCTTTTGAAGAATTACAAGTACTGAAACAAAAACATGTAAAAAAGGAAATAATCTAATTAGATTTTCTAGTGAAATCATTTTTTATAACTGGGGACTCTGCAGTTTCCTTGATTCAAATTGTCAGAGTAACAGAAATTATACAAAAAAAATATCAATTATTTTGAATTGAACATCAGTAGATAATTTGATTTTGCTGCTTAATACCTTAACTAAAAAACCAACTTAGCAGGGGAGAGTCTCAGAACAAAAAGATTATGTACATATATGGAACATTTATGTAAAGAGCAGAATGGTTGATCATTACAGAATATTTATCCCGTATTAACAAAATGATAGATAATGTATGCAGTGCTTGAAGCTATATTAGTTTCTTGGAAGTATGCCAATTGTGTAAAACTATAAATATCCAGTCAGGTAAAAAATGCAGTTTATTCCAAAATGTCATGATGAGTATAAAGTGTCTTGTAACAGGTTAAAAATTACTGATTTATTACAGCCTACATTTTTATGAAGGAGGAGAAATGCTTTCCTCAGTTGGCAAGTGTTGCATGCATGGGTTAAGATTAGACAGCAATAAAAGATGCCACACATGGTTAACAATGAGTAATTTGTAAAACATAAATAGATAGAATGAATAAAATAGAATGCAAAATCTAAACTCAGTAACAATTCAATTAAATGTTAAATACAGGCTGAATAAATATATTAACTTTTCACAAGAGCAAAAATTAAATGAACACCTGCATCTTTCAAAGGAATGTTCTGGTATAATAAACTATTTTTCTACAAACTTCTGAATTCTGTTATTCCTTTGGTAAGATCAGTATGCATAATACTATCTGTTTATTATGTTGAGAATCAGCCGTTTTTTGGTGGAAAGATAGAAGACAGAGCTAATAAATGAATAAGGCTCAACAGCTTTTGCCATGCTAAATATTTTAGACCTTCAGTCTTTCTGTGCATAGCATTTTTCCCCTTGCAAAATAGACTAACAGGACTATTCATCTACATTTAAAAAATGTTATTTCATGATTCTACCATTTTTGATACCTCACAATAATTTAACATGCATTATTTGCTCTTTCAATCTATCACTGCATGTGTCCCAGATAACTATATATTCTCCAATATACATTGTTGTATCCAGTGGCTAAATTTCTTAAAACTTCGAAAGAAAGCAATTATAGGAATAAAGAGCTTGAAAAAGCCAAGTTATGTGATTGATAGGCTAAGGTCAAAAGAAAATAAAAGGGGGGCAGAAGGATGTATTTCCACATATATTAGGAAATCTTCCCAATAGTACAATGAACTGTTTTTTAATACCAGCTTGCTGGGGGCACAGCAAACTCAGCCAGCTCACTTTCATCAATATATACACTATATAGAATATTAAACATTTGCATTTCTTGCAGCAACCTTGTTTATGTTTTATTAATTAAAATATATAACAATGACTCTAATAAAAATGGGATAACATCCACTCACATTTTAGAAAGCCTCTCTGAGCCTACTCCTTTAAGGGAAAACATGTACACCTGTTAAAAAAAGTGAAGCACAAGAGCTATACCTTAAAAATGAGTAGTCATAAAATTAATCTTCCTTGGTTAGTAATCCCAGTTCTATACTATGACTTATTGAGCATAATATTTTTATCCCATCTTAAAATATATACGTGTTTGACCATACATATTATATATTGTGTGTGACTATTTGTATTATTGGTATTTTTCATCAGTGAAATTTGGCAATTCTATCGCTTTCTAATATTCTGCTAGACTCAATTTACCTCCAGATTGCATTTAAAAGTGTTACACATGTCAGAGGTCCTGCTTTTAATAGTTTGCCTTTGGACCACTAATCCTGCAGGTTTGTCTGTTTCTGGAACAAGAATTTTTATTTCTGTTGAATGTTTTCTCATTATTCTGAAATGGCAAGTTGAGATGCTTAGAAAATACCCTAGAATAATGTTTCTTGAATACTTGAGCACATAAATCTTTTCAATAATTTTGCTTTAAGATAAATTATATACTTTATAAACAGCCTTTTCTTGCCTTTGTGAATAATGATTAAAGATCCCTAGGGTTCTCTCTATCAAAGATAAAAATGCAACCTTTTAATATCCCACTGAAATTCTTTCTGAAATTTTATGTGCTAGTTGTGCTTTAGAAAAGTGTATCAGACTTCACACCAGGCCCAGCAATAAATCTTGACTCTCCAGATGTTTTATTTTGCAATCAGGACATTGCTTATAGCAGTGGTTCACGTACATGACAATGCTAGGTAAGTTGTTTTATTGCAGACAGGACATAAACCATATATGTGCAGAAATCAGGCTTTATATATGTTTTCTCCAAAGTTTGAATTCAAGGTCTATTTCCTTCTTGCTTTTACCAGTGTGTGAAATTAGACCTTGAGATTAGAAGATGAGCTTCTTAGTCTTTATAGAAAAATTCTGTCTAGCTGGAAGATCACTAGTCCATGCTTTATTAACTTCATACTTTATACCACCAGAGGTTGTCTCCTCCCCTTTCCCTTCATCAGATGCTTCTTTCCCTTCCCGTATCTGATCATGGATGGCTGGAAGGCATATTGCTCTTTTTGTTTCTTCTTTTTTGGCTGAAGCTAATGAACTCTCTTTCCTTTTTGGGCATTCTGCCTCTCTCTCTGTCTGAAAAGGTAAAGTCAGCAGAAATGGAGGGATATCTCTTCTGTTGTATTTCTTTGTCATGATTTTCCCTTCCATTCTAGGAATCTCTATCTCACTGTAATTGTTTTTCTCTTGGTATTTGTTCAAATGTCTCCTTCTTCAATGTCCTCTTCCCCCTCAATGACAGAAACATTGGCAGGTGATGAATTCCGAGGGTTCAATCCACCAGCTGATTTAGACTTCTGAGGGCACTGAAAATGGAACTGCCAAAATAGATAAGAGGAACATACATCATCTGCTACTTCCCATGAACATTCTGTATCTGGGTATCCTTTCTGATGAATCAGATATTCTAATTGGCCTTTCCTATACTGACAATCCAAAATATATTCCACTTCAAACTGTTTCTCTCCTTCAAGTTGGGAGGAAATGGTGGAGCAGAATTGCATAAGGAGGTATAGGGAGGGGCAATAGAAAATGGAATTTGCTTTCAGTGTGGTTGGAAGTTATAGATAACAGCTACAGGACTGATTTGTGTAGTTATGGAGAATGGTTCAAAAAGTTGGCTTCCAGATTTGTAGACAGTTGTTTGAAGGGAAGAACTCTGATAGAAAGCCATATGTGGCTTCCAACAGCAGCAGGAATGAGTTCTCTAGTAATAATGGTCAGCACAGCAAATGTAAAAGTCTTTGGCATGATCCAGCTGTTTCAGAAAATGCTAACAATTCTTGGAAAAAATGGGAGGTTTCTGAACTGTGGACAACTGCAAAGCATTTGGCAGCTGGTTTAGATGGCTTCTATAGGTGACTTGAAATGGTGACATCTGAATAACAATATGTCTATATTATCATAAGCAATTTAAGGTTTAATTAAAAGATCTAGCCAACTGTCTCGTCAGTATACACAAAAAGGTATTATTCTAAAGTAACATTTGTCCCTTTATGTAGCTGCGTACAAGAGGCAGAAAACAGATGAATTGTTACATCTTAAAGGTGAAATATAGTTTGCAAAAATGAGTTGTAAATTGTATGTTCCTATTAGAGATATGATTGGGTAAACAGCAATAAAGTCCAAGGAAACTGTATGTCAAGACTGGAGTGGGGAGGATGCAAAAGTCAAACTGGGTGGTTGTTTAGGCATGGTAAAAAAAAAGCTTTTGATAAGCTTTCCCATTATAAGTTATGGAAAAAAAGAGGATTTATTTTAAATGCCCTGAAACATCCAGCTATCTAGCTATCAGTGGAGAACTGCAATTCTACCTCCCTCAAGGAAGGAAGATATTATGATTGTTATGGTGTGGTTTCCTCTACTCACAAAGTGATGGGAGAAATGAAGGCAAAGATTCTAGAAAGTCACCTTTCTGAGACATGTATGGGTTATGCTGGATATTTAGAGCAGGGGAAGGACTACAGACATTAATGGAGATCAGCAGAAGGCTATAAAATAGCTAATATTCTGCCTTACATGAAATAAAATATCAGTCTACTTGCTCTAGAACTAGAAATGTAAATTAAATTAAGAAAAGAACTATGTCCATCTGATCTGGTGCTGTAAATGATCCACATTTCTCTTTGTAGATGATCCAATTTCCTGAGATCAGTTCAGATCTTGATAGTATACTCCACTCCTTGGAGAATACCTTAGTTTATAGATTTGTTGGTATAATCAAGAATTCATTGTTTTCTCAGTGATTTTGAATCATCCAGGTGTTGAGGCTGTAAAATAGTCCCAATCCACAATATTTCTACTATCATGCTTTAGAACTGGGTTTTGTTAGAATGCAGTATTTTGTTTTCATCAAATATGATATTTATCATTAATGCATAAATGACATTACTGGCACTTGAAAAGGTCTATCTTGTGCAGTAAGAAAGCAGATCTGCACCATTTCCAGGAACTGAGAGACACAGCAAATCTGGGATCACTGAAGTCAATGTGGCCAGCACAATGACCACTGTTACAAAAAAAAGTGTGGGAAATCATCTGAAAAATGCCATCTTTATGCATATATTTTCAATGTCAAGCATTTTGAAATATAAACATTATTTTGTCCTTCATTTATGTAAGTGCCTCTCATATCTTCATTCTAATATCAAACTATAAGAAACTCAAAATAAAGAAAGCATAATTCCTTGCATTTTATTTTATCATAAGGAAGTGTTCTTTTATGTTTCTTATTGCAGATATACTATGATGAAATCCTTTTGTTTCTTAAAATATTATAATAACTTACACATGGAGAAAAATCCTAAACTCTTTTTTAGAGTTGAATATTCTGAAGTAGTCTCCAAACCCTTATCACACATCTTTAAAAAGCTTTCCCTTTTCCTTCTCAAAGACCTCTAAGCAATTCATATATTTATCTTTGGTTTATTCTATAAATAGCGTTATCTTCCTCCAACTTGCCCCCCATACCAAAGCTTTAAAAAAATACTATTAGAAGGGAGGTAGCAGTTGGTCAGAAATTATATACTGAGCTTCATAGATACCCAGGAACTTTATTCTATGCTTTTTTTTCTCATTTAACACATTAACATTTCATTTTGTTCACATTGACTCATAAGAAATTTGAGGAGAAAAATAAATATTTCATCAGCTGAAGGCTATGCAGATGTAAAAATCACACAGCAATATAAAATAAGACAAACTGGAGGCATTTTGATTCTGATGCTATTCTCAGCAGAAAATAAATTGATTGCCCTCAAGTTATGTCACTATTTTCATATCAAATGTGTCTATATGCATACACATACTGGTTTGCTTTCCAACTTAGGTTTTGTATGTTAAGAATACTATCAGAGCATGAAAATATGAACTTTTCACAGCAGCTATCAGGAGGCATGCATTATTCTCATTATTGAGCTATTTTTACATGAAAAAATAAATCTTCTTACTGAATTGATCCAATCATGTATGGCTGTGCCAGCTGTACAACAATAGCACCACTGCCTAGCTGATGGCATGTATACCCGGAATCCCAGTCATAATTCTTTGTGTCTCCATTCAACAAAGCATTGCGACTACGGCTCACACCCTCAATCACGCTGGCGCAATCTGCAACTGTTGCAACATTCTCAGCGGGAACTGAAAATTAAAATACAAAAGAAATCAGAGGCAGGCACAAGCAACTTAGTTCCATCAGTTTCTCTACCTGGGGAAAAATAAAAATAAGCAAAAATGTTGCTCACACACAGGAAAACACGGATATATTTCAGGGGCAAGATTAAAAATGAATGAGCAATGAGTGAATTGTAGCAGTGAAGGCCAGAAATCTTTTAACTTCAAACTAGTTATACAACAAAACATTCAGCAAACAAACATTTAGACATATTGTAACAATTACTGTGATTAACAAACTTAAATTATGCATTTAAAATCCATAATCAAAAATTGTTTCGAAGAAGTGAATGAAGCTAAATAGACTGTCAAGGAGAGAAATAAAGAGACCAATAACCATCACACCAGACATGTAATAGACATAGCCACAATGTAAGTGTGGTTGTTAAACAGTCCTTCTTCTGTTACTTTCCAAGCATCTGAAGTTTTGTTAAATTTCTATTGAATCGAAACATGCATTGTACAGATTCCAGTTTTTAAAAACAAAATTCAAGACAAGAAGATGCAGCGTAATTATTTATCTATTAACTCATTTTTCTCACATTTTCAATTGATGTTATATACCTGAAGATTTTTTTATTTTTAGTCTCTTTTTTTTGCATATATAAGACAAGGTGAAGGAACATATCAATATTTTCTTCTATTTTGCCCACAACTGCAATCCTGAGGTCAGTTGGCTGAAAGTGACTGACTGGGGAATGCCTAAGGTGCCAGTTGCCTGGGCTCTCAGCTGGCACCTTAATCGCTACTCTAAATAGCTTTTACATTAAGAGGATTTCATTCATAAATGAATTTAATCAATCAAACTTGATAAGGTGTGTTTTTATTCTAAGGTGTTCCTAAAACTTGCTTTTATTGTTTAATTACTCCCCTGTCTATATGAAAACAAACTATATTTATTAAAAATGATCTTTTGGACTACTTATGAGTAATATTGTCCATTATGTTTCTTAATACATGCCAAGGAAAAGCTTGCTGCACTATTTTATACAATAGGATATTAGAGATTAATCAAATAATTTCAGCACACAGAAGCTATCATGCTGTTTCAGTTCCCAAGAGAGGATTGCCACTCCCCATTTTGAATGTTCATTATTGTCTTTCATATCCATCAGATAAATGTATTAAAAACACCATCTGGAAGGGATGACACTCCATGAAGCATTTCAGGTTTTTTGGTTCCCTTGGATTTTCCCTATGGTATTTCTGTTTCAATCTGTATCACTTTGTTTATAAAAATGCACTACCAGAAACAACACTGTCTTGCTTCTGAAGGTTTTTTTTTGTTCTTCAACTAAATATTATATGTAACACCCTATAAGATGGAAAACAGAATATGAATTATATCTTATTATATATATTTTCCAGAACTTATTTCTTCATAAACTTGAATGTATCATTAGAATGGAAAACAATCCATATTAATCTAAATACAATGCTGAAGGAAACAAAATGTTTGTTTTAATGTTTTTAAAATTGTTTTATAATTTTAGAATTGTTAGCTGCCCAGAATCACTTGGTTAAGTTGGATGGCTATAGAAATTGAATAAATAATTCAATAAATAAAAATTTCAAAATAATAAAAATAGGTAGATAAATTTCATATTATTCTTTCTGGCTCATATCACGCAACAGGTAGTCAATAGACTGAACATATTATGACACAGTAACATTTAAAAATGATGATATTTCCAAGACATGACCTTAAAATTATGTATGTGTGTGTGTATAAATATAAATATGTATGTATGTGTAATATATATATATACGTACACACACACATACATATATAAATATGTATCTTCAGTAATACCTAATGACAAATGAGCAAAATGGGGGGAAAAACCAGACATATATCTTTAATCCTTTTCTAATCTGACAATCGTTTTTTAAAAAGTCAGAATACTATTTACTGAAATATTTTTTGCATTAATTGGATTTTGACTAAAATTTCTTATATTTATTTCAATACATTAAGAAAATGCTAATGAAAGCATGCATTTTAGACAATGGCTGAACTATAAATTCCATGAGTTATAAAATACTGTCTTGTTCTGTCCACATTCTGAACCTTCTTCTATGCTTTACATGTGAACAGAAAAGCACAGGGTTTCCCCACAATGTCTGACAATTTTATGATGATAAATGTCTAAGCTGCCATCTTCCATATCTATTTTAGTTTTATTTCTGTATATAACAAAACAATTGACATTTTTATATATAATATATAATTATAATTAAAGACTAAAAATAATTACTGTGTTAACCTTTAGTACATTCTTTTATATGCAATTGGCAGAAATTGGGAATTCAAGAAATATTGATAACTACTAAGTCAGAGGCAATTCAATACTACTGGTTGTAATTGGATAGAACAATAAATGGAAAAAAGTAGAGATAATCACTCTTTAGAACTGACAGAGAAAGACCTCTAATCACCCTGAGATAATGAAATCATTACAATGGAGAAGACATCATTATTAAATTGATACAGCATTTTAACATGAGCTAACATGGGACTGAGTGTCTAATACAAGATAATGGAAAAGAAAACTGATATGACACAACAATTCAGACTGCTGCTAAAGCTTTCCTCTTCTGAGCTCAATTTAGTTGTTAGGTAGAAGTAGAGGATTCTAGAAGCATAGGAAAAAAATATTTGGTAAATGTCTGTAGAGATTCTCAGTCATCAAGGTCATAATTGTCCCAAAGATGCTTTTTCAGGAGGCAATTGGAATTTCTTTGATTTGGTAAATGCAACAATATAGGACAGCGGTCGCCAACCGCTGGGCCTTGAGAAAATTTTGGTGGGCCACAGAGAAATCTCACCCCCAGAGCACCCCCACAAAGCAATTAATCCAGGCTGCGCAGAAACACAAGGCTGCACCACCCACATGGCCCGCGGGAACACTCCCCGCCCACTCACTCCTTACCCGGAAAACTTGCCTGCTAAAATTGCTATTTTTCCTTTTTTCTGACCATCATCTGTTCTGCTGTGCCGGGAGATTTAGATTAGCTAGGAAGCAGGAAATGGTTGGATTTCTTGCTTTCTATCCAGTCTTTAGATCTTCGGCTCTGCTTTTAAATACAGCCGAACTTCCCTTAGGACTGAAGGTTTGCTTGCAAGCAAATTCAGTGCAAACTCATGGCAAGCAAATTTGAGAGACTGAGCTAGCCGATGGCAGAGAGATAGATCACTGAATGATTCTGTGAGCAACTCAATCTGCCTGCTTTGCCTGATTTTGTGTAAAAATTGCTCTTTTTTAAATAAAAACAATATTTACAATACATGGTGTGTTGTGAGTTAATTTTGTGAGTTTGCTTGCAAGCAAATTTTATGTGACAGATTGAGCTAGCCAATGGCAGATAGATAGATAGATCTCTGAATGAATCTATGATTCCGTGAGCAACTCAATCTGCCTGCCTGCTTTGCCTGATTTTGGGTAAAAGTTGCTTTTTTATAAAAAAATTCAATATTTTTATAAATATTTATAATATTTACATACAAGCCATGCCCAGCCAGTCACATGACCACCAAGCCACACCCACCAATTAGGCCACGCCACAGAACCGGTTAGTGGTCCCTGGGATCAAAAATTATGAGTTTGGTGGTCCCTGAGGTCCAAAAGTTTGGCGATCCCTGATATAGGAGATAGGTTACCTGAAGTTTACTGAGATGGTTTTATTGCTAATAATACATACAACATCAATGCAGATTCTACACATGAAATCAAGTAGATTGCATAATACAAAATAAAAGGAAAAATGCAATCCAGTTACTATTTTCAGGTGCATGAAAAGATCATAGGCTCTTAGGGTTAAATACATGGATTGAAGTTTAAAGAGAGTAGATGTAAATAGTAAAGTACAGGTAGTCTTTGAGTTACAACAGTTCCTTTAGAGACCATTCAAACTGAAAAAAGCGACTTATGACCAGTTTTCTCAGTTATGGCCTTTGCAGCATCCCTATGGTCAAATGATCAAAATCCAGATATTTGGCAACTGCTTCATATTTATGACAGCTGCTATGTCCCAGGGTTTTGTAATCACTTTTTACAATCTTCTGACAAGCAAAGACAATGGGAAAGCTAAATTCACTTAGCAACCCGGGTTACTAACTTAGCAAATGCAGTGATTCACTTAACAACTGTGACAAGAAATGTCATAAAATGGGACAAAACTCATTTAACAAATGTCTCACTTAACTACATAAAAATTGTGCTCAATTGTGGTCATAAGTCAAGGATTACCTGTATGTCCTGGAAAACATGGAAGGGAACCATGGAAATATATGGACATATATAAGGAAACCATGGAAATATATAAGGAGCATCATGAAGACTGATCTAGGAATATAAAACCCTAACCCTAATTCAGAGATGAAAAGATTTGAGTGGCTTTCAAAACAGTTTACTACCGTGTTTTTCCAACAATACGGCCTCCCCCAATAGGAAGTCCCAGCATGTTTTATAGGCATAAAATCAAATTAAGCCCCTCCCCCAAATTAAGGCCTATATTAAACATGCGAAATGAGGGGGAATGGCGGGGGGGCTTGCCTTTAGGAAGTACTTTTGTTGCATACCCGGATATGGTGCTGCCTGTGTTGACCTCGGCGTTGGTGGGGCAGTTTGTATTGGGAGACCTTCCGCCACTGTTGCTTTCCCTTCTCCCCGTGCTGCTGCGGCATTTAGAGCAACGCTGCGGCGTTTGGCACAGCCATGCGCGGCCAGCCAGGGCTCCTCCCTGCAACCGAAGCCCGGTGGAGACACTCCTTTCCACCCCACTTGCCCAGCCCATCCCCACGCATCTCCAAACGCGCCGGCAGCTCGAAACGCTGCAGCGGCATGGGCATTGGGCAGAGGCACTCACTCGGCGGGGCTCAGCTCGGAGGACGCGGCGCAGTCCGTCACCTTGCCTCCCTGTCCACGGATGGGTGGGTGCTATCACTGCCTCAGGCGGCCTCTCCT